CTAGGTTGCTAGATAAAGTCTCTGATACCACGACAGTGGATTGGTTATACAATTATATTTGAGTTTAAGATTACACTGAATTGTTCCCTGAATAATTGTCTGATTTATGATTTATGATTCCCTGCGAATATCCCTAAAGTTTAACGCTTTTAATTCCATAAGTTTACACTGTTTTGATTGCTATTTTAGTTTCATTTGCATACAACAGTCATATTTATCATTTTAGATTAATTTCACTCTCATATTTTCGTAGTGTTTTGGAATCTGTGGATACGATCCCTTTTGTACTACTTCGTTGGTGTGCACTTGCAGTAGTATTTTGATAGGGTTAAAACCGATGTTATCACCGTTATCGTTTATGTGAGTTATTCTTGACAAACAAAATTAATCAAATTCATATTAGTTACCAGCTTTGTCGTGTTTGATGATATTCTTATATGGAGTACTTGATTCCCTATTTAACCAACTTCAACCAGCTGAACGAGAGCTGCTGCAAAGTGCAACAATCGTCTCCTTTGAGTATCTTCCAACGCACTTGGTTCAGGCTGTTCCAACTGCAAACATTAATTGACACATAAAGAAAAGAATGCCGAAAAAGACATGACAACAACCCACACGAACAAAAAAACGAAAAAAAAAACGTGACGTTACGTAACATAGATCTCTATTTACTCCAATCGTTTTGCATGTATACCGACCCCAGCACTCCATAAAACATATCTTTCTTCTCATCACCAAACCACAACTATCCGATTACAAACTATGAAAATCAATATTTTCCCCAAAATGTTATCTTTCGTCATTCCCTTTTTGGAGGTTATTAAGATGGTCATTGCTTCGGTGGCCTCCGTAGCCCTCTTAGGCTTTGCCGGTCTAACATTCGCCAGTTCAGCAGTGGGAATAGTTGTATCCACACCACTTTTCATCATATTCAGTCCAATTCTCGTACCCGCCACTATAGCCACTACTGTCCTAGTCACCGGGCTCACCGTAGGTGGATCCTTCGGAGGGACGGCCCTGGGTCTCATCATCTGGCTCATTAAGTAAGATGACATTTATGTTAATACAATATTCATTATTGGAATAACTCGATTTTTATGTAAATACATTATTCACCTACGTGTACATGTGCATACTAGATATAGCAATAGCTTTAGATATGAAAAACTGTCGACGTGATTAATAAGATTATGGTACGCAATTCTTTTTGTATATCTTCAAGATGTAGTAGAAGACGTTTCGGTGATCTAATGTGTCTTTGGATTAGATAACCATGTTGGAAACCCAAATATGTGAAGCCTTGTTTTTTATTTTTATTTTTGCCAAGGTTTCATAAACTAGATTATGCTTTTTTAACTAGATTATGCTTTTTTGTAAAATCTAACTTCATTTTTATAATGATATTCACATTTTTAGCAAAAAAAAAAATTCTTTTTGTATATATAATTAACCYTTGACATGAATACTCATTTGTGTACATATGTGTGTGATGTAGGCATCAAATGGGAGTAATGATACCGCTTTTTGGAACGTTTGTAGATAAACCGGCAGGTGAAGCTACACCTGTGGGTGGTGCGGCTCCACCGGGGAGTGAAGCTGCACCTGCGAGTGGAACTACACCTACGGGTGGAAGTAATCCGGCAAATGGATTCAAATGGTCTTGGTCTTGGGGTGGAAAACCGTTTTCCGGAAACATCCCAGGATGGTTTGGAGGTACATCCGCAGGTGGAGGTGCACCGGCGGGTGGATTAAAATGGAATTGGTCTTGGGGTGGAAACTCCTATTCCGGAACCATCCCATTTGGAGGTACACCTGCAGGTGGAGGTACACCGGCGGGTGGAACTGAACCGGCGAGTGGAAGTCCAACCACGGAGTAAAAGACATTTATCGAGCTGTTCCAACATGTAGCAGATATATATAATGCATTAGTTCAAGATTTCATAATTCAGAATAATGTAAAAGCCTTTTGAAAACGTTTTTTGTTTACATGTAATGTTGAATCTGCTTATAGTGATAGAAAAAGTATGTGATTCAATTTTTTGTTAATTGATTAAGATAGTTTATGTGGTAACATGGTAACGCATTCGTCTTGAAAATAGAGAAATTAAACACAAAAAGATAGCACAAAAGCAAACAACCAGAGGCAAATTAAGACGAAAGCAAACATCTCAACTTCTAGCTTCGTTTCGTCACTTAATCATGAAGTCATGCCGACCCTCCAAAGTGCCATAGAAGAAGGAAAGCGATCATCTCTGGTTACACTTTTCACAATTGCTCGAGCAATAGAATTTGCCGATGTTGCAATAGAGTAAATACGGCAAATTTACAAACAAAGTTATTGCACTTAATATAAGCCAAAACCTGAGATCCTAATAAGAGATCTACTAAATGAGACCATAGGCCATGCACAACCATTATTTTCGGTCGATATAGAAATCAATATGCTATACAATGAAAAATTCATAATTACCGTTTTCCCACCAAAAAGTAAGCATACGAAAACCAGCAAGAAGAGTTTAGAAACAAACCAAAGATGTGAAGTAGAGAAATGTACCATGACAATTACTTTTGAAAAACCAAAGATGTGAAGTAGAGAGATGTGAAGCTAAGGATTTTTGAAATTCAGAAGACCATRGATGGTTTGCCAAAATAGACGCATTGCCTTTCTTTGAATATAGAATGTTTGGTTTCTTCTTTGCTAAATTTAGTTGTAAAATTGAAGATTCTCATACCTGCTGAAGAAGAAAGTTCCCATACTTTTAAACCAAAAATTAAAATACAAATTTTAGAAATAATAAACAATCTACTTAACCCAGATCATGCACTTGGTTCAGGGTGCTCCAAACTGCAAACATTAATTGACACAAAACAATTAGCTAGTGTTTGAGCTTTTACAATAAAGAAAAAAAAGCCCAAAAAGACATGACAACCCACACGGAAAAATAAATAAAGCAAACGTGACGTTACGTAACATAGAATACTCCGATCGTTTCGCATGTGTACAGACCCCACCACTCCACAAAATCCATCTCTCTTCTCATAACCAAACCACAAACTATCCGATCGCACAAACTATGAAACTCAACATTTTCCCCAAAATGTTATCTTGTGTTATCCCATTTTTGGAGGTTATTAGGATGGCCATTGCTTCTGTGACCTCCGTAGCCCTCTTAGGCTTTGCCGGTCTAACATTCGCCGGTTCAGCCGTGGGAGTAGTGGTCTCCACACCAATTTTCATCATATTCAGTCCAATTCTCGTACCCGCCACTGTAGCCACTACTCTCCTTGCCACCGGCCTCACTGCCGGTGCCTCCCTCGGAGGGACGGCCTTGGGTCTCATCATGTGGCTCATTAAGTAAGTATTAAACAAATTATATTGGAAATAACTCCAGCTTATGCTAATATATTATAATATTATTCACATACGTGTACATGTGCATACTATATCAATAATAACTTTAGATTTGAAAAACTGTCGACCTGGTAATAAGATTATGTAGTACATTAGTACACAATATTTTTTATATAATTAACCTCTAGACATAAATATACATTTTGTGTGTGTATATATGTGTGATGTAGGCATAGAATGGGAGTAAAGCCAAAAAATAATCCACCTCCGTCAGGAGCTCCGCCAACTACCGATGGAGGTCCATCGGCTCCATCAGCCAAAACTTTATTACCATTTTCTGGAACATTTGCAGATAAACCCGCAGATGGAGCTGCACTCGCGGATGGTGCAGCTCTACCAACAAGTGCAGCTCAAACAACAAGTGAAGCTCCACCGAAAGGTGGAGTAAAATGGACTTGGACACGGGATGGAAAAACGTTTTCTGGAGGATGGTTTGGAGGTTCACCCGCAGATGGAGGTGCACCGGCCGGTGGAAGTAATTCAGGGATTGTACTACACTGGTCTTGGACGTCTTGGCTTGGAAAAACTTATAATGGAAGCGTCCCGTTTGGAGGTACACCCACAAGTGGAGGTACACCGGTGGGTGGTGCACCCGCGGAGTAAAAGACACTGGTCGAGCTGTTCCAACATGTAGTAAATATGTATTTTGCACTAGATCAAGATTTCATGATTCAGTAACTAAAAGGAGGAACAAAAGCCTTTTATGTTTATATGTAATGTTGAATCTGCAGTGCTTATAGGTGATAAAGAAGGATATGATTCACTGTCTGATTAAAAATCTTAAATAGTTAAAATGCGGGTAATATGATAACTTGGTAACGCATTTGTCTTGAAAATATTTAACGATCTGTCTATTAGAGTTTATCCTTTGTATTATGCTATTTAATTATAAAAATA